GTATTTAAATGTTTCCAGTTTGGATAATTTGATTAAGAGCCTATACAAGTTTGTTCCCAGAAGCATTAGCTTCTTTCTAATTCTCATTCTACTGGACCTCTGGCACACCTGACATGGATAGTATTCCCCTCCCATCCTGAAACTCTTTCTGCCTTTGGCTACTATAATAATATCATTTTGTTCTAGTTCTTGTCCCATTCCTTTAACCTGTCTTTTTCAGTGTCTATTATCCTTCAAACAATGATGCTTCTTCTGGGCAATAGCTCTTCTCTTCTTATAGTATTACCATCCCATACTAAGGTTTCAAATATCCCCCCATATATTCTCTCTTGACTCTCAAATTTATGTATTCAGTCCCAACCTTTCACCCAATTTTCAGACCCAATTTTCCAGCCATATCTGAAAAAAATCTCAAACTGAAGTTGTCCAAAATCAAATCTATTACCACTCCTCAAAACTGCTTCTTTACTTTCTTTATTTCCATCAATACCACCAATTCAAACTAAGCCAAGTCAGAAATCCCTCACTTAGGGACGGAAAAAAAAAAAAAAAGAGCCAAGTTTAAGGCTCTGTAATCCTAGCTCCTTGGGAGGCTGAGATCAGGAGGATCAAGGTTCGAGGTCAGCCAGGGCAAATAGTTCACAAGACCCCTATCCAAAATAGCCAAAGCAAAATAGACTGGAGGTGCAGCTCAAGCAGTACAGCACTCTCTTTGCAAGTATGAAGCCCTGAGTTCAAACCTCAGTTCTAAAAAAAAAGAGGAAAAAAAAATCTATTTCAAAACCTCTTGGAATTGTGCTCTTCCCTTCATTTTCTTGCCACTAATCCAGTCCATTTTCTTACCCAGCTTAGCACACTGGTTTCTTGCCTAAGACTTGCCTCCACAGTCAATTTTCAATACTTCATTCACATTTTCACCAGAGATAATCCAATCATGTCAAACTGCTAAATAAACCTTCAATACATTCTTACAGAATAAAGATCAAACCCTTTGGCAAGTTTTTCTCAAAGGTATAAATAAAAATTATTAATTTTAAATTAGACAAACCTGGGCTTCATTTCTGGCTAAATCTGAATAGAGGTTTAGTCTAGGGTCTTCAAGATGCAGGGTAAAAGGCAGAGGAGGGAAAAAGAGAAGGGAAGGGAAGGAAGTCTGTTTCTTTTGGGAGGAATGAACACGTTTGATGGAAGTGAAGGAGTCCAGATCTGGAGGGAGGAGCAGGTACTGAGATGCGGAGGCTCTCAGTGGGCAGTTGTATATTTATGAAACAGGAGTTCTCCGAGGAACACGAAGGTTTCCAGGATCTGGGAAGTAAGGGAGGTCCCTAAAAAAAGTCAGCCACCAGATGCCTGAGTGAAGTAACTTCTAGTGGGTTCCCAGCCTCTGAAGGGAGAAAAGGCGGGCCCGTCCCGGGACCCTGGGGAAGTGAGAACGGAAGGGGAAAGGGGCCGAGAGGGGAGTGCCCCCTGTGGCTGCCAGGAGGACCCCTACTAAGCCACGGGGTCCTCTCTGGTGTTAAGCAACCCAGGCGCCAAGGCTCCGAGACCAGGAAGGTGTAGCAGCCGCGCGCACGGACCAGGATGCCCTGGGTTCGGACCCCATGCGCGCTCTTGACGTTACCTGAGGCGGGAATGAGCAGCCGGACGGGTGCCTGCGCGGGCTGGAGTGGAAGGTGGCGGCCAAGAGGGAGCATAGTAGCCCTGGCAGCTGTGTGGCCGCAGTGGCTTTTTAGCCTGCGGAGGCGGTGAGGGTCCCTCGAGCAGAAGCCGGCGATTCCGCGGGACTACAAGCGGCGGAGGACCAGAAGGCTACTGCCATGGCCCCACAGTCGGGGCTGCTCCCCCCGCCTATTTGGCGGGGCCAAGAGAAGGATCAGAGCAGCGAGACCTACAAGGCAGCTGGAAACTCCGCTGGGCTCCGCGGCTGCTAGCGACTGAAACGCCTGGGGCAAGGGAGTTGGGAGGCGGGGCCGCTGCGGGCCACGCCCCTCTCCGAGAAGCCAATCAATTGCCGGCCCTTAATAAACGAGCTAGTGGAATTACCCAATTAGCGTTAAGAATGCCACGTGGTATGAGGGTGGGCACAATGAGCGTCCAGAGAAGCCAATCAACAGCCCTAGGCGCCAACTCTTAGAGGACGAAGGGAACCAATAAGAAGAAAGTGGAAGCAAAAACAGAAGAGGCAGTGTGTTGAAAAGGCGGAACCCTAAAGGAGAGAATACACCTGAGGGAAACCCAAGTCCAAGGAGTCTCTTAGAGGGCGGGACAGTAAACAGAAGATGGACCAATCAAAATGCCAAAGATAGAAGGGTTAGGTAATTGATAAGCCCAATAGAACATGGGCTACACTGGCGCGGCTTTTGGGTTGCTCAAGTTGTAGCTGAACCCTATGAATGCAGTGTCCTGCAGGATCTCAGTATAGTGAGAGGGAAAAACTGATACATGATTATTACGGACTTAAGATAGTAACCACAGTAAGTAGAGCCAAACAAACATGCTGAGGGAACAATTCATCTATACCACGAAAGATCGAATTCAATGAAGGCTTAAAGGATATAACTTAAGGTAGCATTAAAAACAGGATTTTGAAATAGCTGAATGGGAAATAAGAATTCTATCCAACTGTTCAACAGGCACATACTTCCCCATGCTTTGCCGATGTGTGGACCCCAGGAGATCAAAATCTTATGTCTGAGTAGACTGCAACAGGAAAGAAGAGCAGGCAGATACAGTGACCTTACTGTTCCACCACTCCCTGAAGTTACAGACGGCCTTCAGAAATCTTTAGACTTCTCTTCTCCTGGGAGATGCATGGACTATAAATAGTTGGAGTAGGAATTAAGATGTATCTCAATGGTAGAGCATATGCCATGTGTGAGGCCCTGGGCTTGATCCCCAGCACTTCAAATAAAATAATAATAATAATTGGAGTACAAGTGATCCCAGTGACAATTAAGGTTAAGAAAGATTAGTGGTAGGAAATAATATTGGTAAGAGAAGCCGAATGTGGGTTGGGTTTAAAAGCAAAATTTGTCTTTTGTTTTTTATTTTTTGAGAGCATGACCATAATCTAAACAGTGCACTATTTTAGGAAGATTAATTCGTAGCTCACAGAATCTCTGAAGGTAGAAAAGAGATCACACCAGACCAGTCCCTCTAACCCAAAGCCTTTTCAGTATCATTCTTCTGGCAACAAATCATGTGCTGCCACCTGGTGACAATTCAAAGACCACTGTTTCCCAGGGCTGTTTAATATTTCTGTTGTGAAAGAGCTAGCACCCCAGCAAGCCTGTCTCCCTCAGAATTTAATGCAAAGTAGTTGATAAGTAGAGAACTGGTAGCAATTAGAGCCAAATGAATCACCTGCCCAATGAAAGATGGTAAATGACAGAAGTTGCTTGTGCTTCAGAAGGAAGATGAGAGCCAGGCACTGGTGGCTCACGCCTGTAATCCTAGCTATTCAGGAGGCAGAGATCAGGAGGATCGCAGTTCAAAACCAGCCCAGGAAAATACTTCTCGAGACCCTATCTGGAAAATACTCAGAACAAAAAAGGACTGATGGAGTGGCTCAAGTGGTAGAGCACCTGCCTAGCAAGCATGAGGCCCTAAATTCAAGAACCAGTACCACCAAAAAAAGATGAAGTTAGATACAAGATTTTTGTGTTTTTTTTTTTTTAAACTGGGTCGGTTGAGTCTGAGTTAGGACTGATCTTTATCACTCCACTCTCAGCAATTCCCAAATGCTGAGGGGAAAAGAACTAAGAACTTCCACATAGTTATTCAGGTGTCTAAGGCTCTCTTTCTATGACTGGTCTGCCAGTTAGGCCAGGGCCTTAAATATAACTGAAGGTAGTTCCTGTCCTACCTAAGCCTTTTATTATGCTTTTGTTTCAGATTACTGTCTCCTTTTCCACTTGATCCATGCTTCCAGCCCAAAGGCTATTTTGCCTATGTTTACCAGTGAAAGAAACTTCATGGGACTGGAGGCACGGCTCAAGTAGTAAAGCACCTGCCTAGCAAGGATGAGTTCAAACTCCAGTACCACCAAAAAAAAAAAGGGAAGCCTCAGGGATATGCTGCTGGTTCTTAGGAAATCTTAGACTGTATTGTCTAGAATACAAAGCCCAAGTAAGATGAAAAGTATAGCTGTCCTTCATCACCTAGGAAAATATACTTTCTAGAGAGCAACCACATGGCAGAAGAACCAGGATCATTAGCCACAAGGCATTTTTTTAATGAAATATAAAAGAAATGAGTGGTACAAAATGTGCCCAGCATGTGTGAAGCCCTGGGTTCAATCCCCAACACTGAAGAAAAAAAAAGGACGTATCACTCCTAGTAAGAATAAGTATTGAATCATGAATTTTGTATTTCTTACTGGAAGTCACAGTCAAAAAGTTCTGAAGGTGATTAGATTAGAGACAGAGAAACTGAAAGACCAGGCAAGAGGCTATTATACAAATACAGAATGGGTTGCTGTGGATGAGGAGGTGTGGAAAGGCTATAGGGAGCCTCAAGACTTAGAAGCTGGAGATGAGGAAAAGAAGTGACAGATTGCCCAGGTCCAGAGCCCACCAGAATATCTTACCCTTCTCTGCAACCCCACAGCACTACTGCCTCAAAGTAATAACCCAGCTTATTCTACTCACCAGAATGGGAGTTTTTATCTCTTTTCAAGCTCACCTGAGTTTGTACTCAGGATGTACAGCTATAAATGTCTATAAACTCAGTATTTAGAGGTAGAGGTCCAGGAAACAGTCAAGTAACAGGAAAAATAAAAAGATACAGCTGAGTCTATCCCATGTAGGTTTATTCACAGAAAACACATCAGGGAGGGTTAAGCCACTTTATTGCAGTTGGAAAGCAGAGATAGGTGAGCAGTGAGAAGCCTCAGAGGGCACACACCAGTTTTATCAAGAGAAAAAGGGGAAGCTGCCCAGAAATAAGCCTTGGAGGAAAGGGTAGGAAAGAAGGCTTCATTTCACTATGCTTACAAATCCTTACAGGTCAATCAGGAGCATCTTGGGGTCCTCAAGGAAGAGTTCCTCTTTCTCAAGACTCTGGGCATGGAGCCAAATGCTGATGAGCTCCAGGTTAGAAAGGGTGCTGTCCTGGAGATCTAAAGGGAAGGAAAAGGGAAGACAAAAACAAACCATCAATAAGCACTGTGACATGCACAGAACTAGTCCCCTGTTTGATGGGGACATACAGGCCTGATTTAGGATAAGTAATAACAGAGGTAAATGGATTCACAAAGAAAAGGGCAGAGACTCCGTTCTACCCAGTGCTAAGCAAGTAGACAGATGCCATTCAGTCAACATTCAGATTCAGCCTCCCCTAGACCTGGGATCCCTGCCCTTACTCCCACCTAGTTTCCTTAAAATTTCCCAGCTACTGCTACTGTCTGGAAGACTGACATGGCGAAGGTGGTGGTCAGGGGCAGCTTAGATTGGAAGACATGAATTGAGGTCCTAAAAACAAGAACAGAATCAGAGGCACATGGGTGATAATGGTCTAGGAGGCCCTCCTAGCAAAGAACTGTCCTCTTTCTGAGGCTGGGACTCCAGTCTCTTCCCTCGTTATCATCCAGACATATAAAGATATCTGACTAACTCTGTATCAAGTAAAGAATGCCCAATGCTGCCCTTATGGAATGCAACCTTATGGAATACAGTCCCTACTAGCTTCGGCCAAATTTAGGATAAGTTAACTTTAGTCCCCAGTATCTAATCTCTGTAAGACAAATCCCTTCTACTGCTATAGCACCCACACCTTCTGACCTGAGGAAGTTGTGTTCCTGCTAGTCATCCTGAGCCTCTGTCCTGGCAGCCTCCAGAGTATGACCCTTGCCCTCCTGGACACTTTGCAGCTGCTCCAACATCTGCCAGACCACGGGCCCAGGTAGGACCAAACCTCTCCCTCTTCAGGAAGAAACCCTTCCTCACAATTGGTCTCCTCAGTACACTTGGAATCCTCATGTGGGCAAGGACAGTTTTTCATGGTATAGAGCAAAGGGATTGTAAAGAAGAGAGGGGTTTTGTTTTGTTGTTTGTTTTGTGGTGACGGGGATGGAACCCAGCACCTTATGCACACTAAGCAAGTGCTCTACCACTTGAGCCATACCCCAGTCTGAGAAGGGTTTTGGAGAGAGGTGGAGTTAGCACAGGGAAGAGTGGAGCTGATAGAGGGTATCCTGGATAAACAGAGGAAGAACAGGGCCTCCATGAGGAAATATGTGGAGACAGGTCTAATCTTGGTCCTACCTTCCAGCTGCGGGCTTGAACCTGGCGCCCCTCTTCCACCTGTTTCAGCAGCAGCTCTTGGTGTTGGCCTGCAGAGGAGAGAGAATGTGAGGGGGCTGTTCAACTTCTTTTCTTCTCCTTCCTTGCCTGTGACCAGCCTGGCACTGAAAACTGAGACAAAAGCATTCTGATCAAGCTGTTGGAAAGCTTCCAAGCTGACTGGAGAAACTAAATCACACCATGACAGTCAAAGGGCAAGACAAAATGCTTTGCTAAGAGCTGGGACTGTAACTCAGGGGTATAGCATGTGCAAAGACCTGGATTCAAGTCCCAGCACCGCAAAAAAAAATTATAATAAAAAATACTTTGCCAAACTTAATAGTTCAAGCAGGCAGAGATATAACCACTTACTGGGAGAGCAAGAAGGCATTTCAGAAGAGGACAAGGAAACACATACTCTCAATCTTTTACTTACTCAGCTGGTCCCGCAGCAACTTCAGTTCCTCCCGCAGAATCTCTGACTCTTTCCATAAAAGTTGCCGCCTACAGAAGTGACAGCAGTGTCATTCTAGAGTCAAAGTGAGGAGGCCATCAGCCTCTCAGAATGTCACAAGTTCAGAGACCTCAGAAGGTAAGGTCTTGCCCATCACTCACTCAGTCTGCAGCTCCTGATGAAGACCACTGGTAGAACTGCACTTTCCTGCTCTTGTTTTCATTTGAGCTTGGGCTAGCTCCTGCACCTGGCTCTGAAGGCCCTGCAGTTCCCTTCTCAGCCCCTCTAGGTGTTGCTCCAGGAGAAGGGTTCGCCCTTCTGGGGAGCCCTGCAGCAACCTTAGTGATGCTGGAGTAGGACAAGTTGATAGTCAACCCTTCTGAGAGCTTCACACATGAGCCCAGACAGTACTTAAAAATTAAACACACTTGTGTGTTTGCACACACAAGTATACAGCAAATTTGTTTGCACACATATAAAGCTGTGTGAGGGGCTGAATGTCTAGCTCAGTGGTAAAGCACATGCTTAGCATGCTCACATCAAAAAAAAAAAGACCTGATACCTTCCAGGACATTGATCTTGTACATCTGCTGCTCTCGTTCTTCCAGGAGGCCCTGCACAGCCCGCCTTAGAGCCTCAGTCACCTACCCAAGCAGAAAAAAAACACATGAGCTACTGTGAATACTAGGAGTAGTCTCATCTCACACAAACACCACATATACACACGTAGGATTCCAAGGCTCACCTGAGCCTGAGATTGAATCTGAGATCGGAGAATAGTAACTTCATCCCAGAGAGAGGAACGACCGTACCTTAGTCTGTTTGGGACAATGGGAGTCTTTAGAACCCAATGCTGTTGGGTTTCTGACTGGGAAGGAAAACGATGAGAGGAAATACAGGATCCAGCCAGGTTCCCTGCTGGGGGAATAAGGAAGGACAATGGAAGGGTGTGGAAGAACAGAGTTCAGGAAAGGAAATACAATTTGGAAGAAACAGTGGATGGTATGGGCACTGAAAGAACGTAGATCTTGGAAAGAGAAAAGGCTGGAAGTAGAAAGGAACAATACTTACTTGTAGTGGACACTTCAAGGGGACACAGCCTCTGCTACAAGGGAAAGAGTTCCTCAGGCCAATGACCTCTGAGTGTCCTTTAACCTACCCCCATCTAAAACAAAACAAAACTGGGAGGTTCTAGTACCCCCTCACCTTAATCCGGGCCATATTTCCATCAGTTGCATTTAGAAGTGCATCGAGCTGCTCAGACCAACTCAGGCTTGTATTCATATTCCTGTGGCAGGGGTCTTGCTCCCTGAATTTTTGTGTCCTTATTCTCCCTGCTGGGAATACCCGAGTTACAGCCCAGGAAAGGCCACAGCGTTAGATGGGAAAAGGAGAGTAAGAATGTAATAGTAGCGATAAGGATGCAATATAACACCAAAACTGCGACTCTGGCACTAGACAAGGAAAATGCGTTCTTGGGAAAGCGGGGAGAAAGCGGGAACACCTTGATACTCATATATCAAGTGAGAGCAAAAGGCGCCGAATCTTGGTTGACGGTGCCAGGACACTGGTACCATGACACCAAACCCGTGTCAGCGACTACTGCCGCTGCTGAGTTGAAACCCTCCAGTAGGTGGAGAAAATACGACTAAAGATTGAGTGCCGCAGGGCCACCTGGGAACGGAGTCGGCCTCTTGAGCACACAACCACAGTTGGAAAAGGCGGAACCACGTTTCCCTGGAAACGACCGGTGCGATCATACCCCGCCCCTCGTGAGGCTTATCGGGATACCGAGTCTTTCAGACGCTGTAGTGTTGTGCTCCAATGAACAAAAGAACTACGTATCCCGAGATGCATCGCGCAGAGCCAACTCTGTCCCGCAGCTGGTCCCAGTAGCTCCTGGGAAACGGAGTCTACGCTGCCTTGAAACCTAACGGCCTAGTTATCTTTGAGACTCCATTCCCCAGCAAGCTCAGCGTGCAGCGTGCGCTATGGAGCCTAATGTCGCAGAGCTGAAGCAGAAGATTGAGGACACATTGTGTCCTTTTGGCTTCGAGGTTTACCCATTCCAGGTTAGTTTATCCCTTCTGCGGTCCTAGGGTGAGCTACAGCAACCAGCGTGAGACCCCGGGTGCCTTCTTATCCTTCCCAAACTCCTGCGGCCCGGTGGCCGTCTAACGACTAGGACAGAGGTGTCAGCTGGGGCTTGGGTTAAAAAGGTAGAGAAGCGGTCACACGTTTGTCCTTTTACTCCCATATGATACCATATTGATGAATGGGAGTTATCATATGATCTCGTAACCTGTGTGGCTTTGTCACCTACACAATTTGCAGGAAGAAAGATACCCCCTATGGGGCCAAAATCACCTTGGAAAGCTTCCAAAAGAAGTTAGGAAAGGGTAAGATATGGAAGGTTTGCTTGGTCACGATTTGGGTCAGCTGAGGAGAGAAGGACATTCCTGGTGTTGAACAAGAAACAATTGACTGGTTTGTTCCATCTACCAACAGAAGGATAATTCATGATGTTGCTAATAATTGGTGCAGGGCTGGGTATAGAAATTTCTGTGCACCCGACTGGCACAGAAGTCTCCACAGTCCTCTTCTTGCTCCACCCCACTCCACCCTTTTTATATAAGTCCATTTCACCCACATCAGTGCAGGGTGCCCTGTGCAGTACACTTAAGACACAAAGCTAAATGAACTCAGCCTAATGCTTAAGAGACAGCTTACTTCCAACTTATTTAACAGCAGTGCCAGGGTGTGTGTGGAGCAGTAAGATACAGAGGGACAAATATGTTGGGTCTAGCTTAAGAGAGGACTTGCCAGAAAAAAAAAATTTAAAAATGACGTCTGGGGCTACAACTCAGTGGTAGAGTGCTTGCCTAGCATGGCACAAGGCTCTGGGCTCAAATTAAGCATGCCTACCCCACCCCCGCCAAAATAAATAAATAAAAGCAACTATGTGTGAAAAGACAGATTGGAAAGAAGGAGGATTATGTACATTCCAAACATCTGCTTGAGTGTGGAGGTAGTTAGTGATGGATGGCAAGTGTAGGAGAGAATGAGAATGTCTTATTTGGCAAGGCAGGTGGACCTAGGTAATGGGAACTATTGTACTGACCAGTCATCTGCAGACCTGCCAGTCATTCTGAGGTCCTACAGCTCACCTCCCCACCCCATATGGAGTCAGCCACCAAGACCTTCGCCTCCTGAACCTATTAAATCCATTCTTTTCCAACCCATCAATCTGGGAACCATTTCTCATTTGGACTACAGTACCTTTGCTGTCAGATCAAAAACTGATCATATTTTTATCTTTTTTTTTTTAATTGGTGCTTGAGCTACACCCCCAGTCCTTTTGTTTTCAGTTTGTTTTTGAAATAGTGTCACACCATTACCTTTGCCCAGATTGGTCTTAAACTTGCTACTTTCTGCCTCCACCTTCCAAGTAGCTGGGATTATAGATAGATACCACCATGCCTGTCTTTCAGTTTACTCTTTAATATTCAGTGCCTCCTCATTGTCACCAAATTATATCCATAGTTCTTACACCTGACTGCTATGTAAAAATAATAGTATGCCAGGTGCTAGTGGCTCATGCCTGTAATCCTCGCTACTCAGGAGGCAGAGAAACAGGAGGATCACAGTTCAAAGCCTGCCCAGGCAAATAGTTGCGAGACCGTATCTTGAAAAAACCCATCACACGCACAAAAGAAAAAAGGCTGGTGGAGTGGCTAAAGATGTAGGCCCTGAGTTCAAACCCCAGTACTATACACACAAAAAAATATATATATACTGTAGATTCTCCCTACACTAGTCTTCACTTTCCTTACCAGTCTTCAAGACTCAGTTTCCAAGAAGGCCTTTTCAAATTTCAGAGGACCCTTGTCTGGATCTGTCATAGCACTAGTCAATGCAATTTCTATTTATTCTTAGTTGTTCATAAACTGTCTATTCTAAATCCCCGTCAAATTCAGATTGTATGGGCAATTGCCCACACAGTGTAATTTGCCCACATTACACAGCATCAGCGAAAGTTCACTGAATGAATGAGACGGAGGATGAGGCAAAATGTAGGAGGCCTTGACTACCAGACTAAGGTATGGACCTGGCTAAGGCCTAAGCTGGTTCACTGACCTAGCCTAAGCTTTTTCTGTTCCAGGTGGCATGGTACAATGAACTCCTGCCTCCAGCCTTCCATCTGCCCCTGCCAGGACCTACCCTGGCCTTCCTGGTACTCAGCACACCTGCCATGTTTGACCGGGCCCTCAAGCCTTTCTTGCAGAGCTACCACCTCCAACCACTGACCGACCCCGTGGATCAGTGTGTGGCCTACCACCTGAGGAGTGTTACAGAGGTAAGCAAGACTCAACTTTACAAACTCTTGCTTCCATCTCCTCCACTCTCACTGCAGGATCTAGACTAGAGCAAGGAGCCACTTCATAGGTAAAATGATACCTCTAAATACAGCCTTGACATTGTGATTCTCCCTATTCTATCTTCTCATACCCATGTCCTACCACCTTCCTTTAGCAGTGTGAAATAAACCTCAGGCCAGCTTTGGCACCCAAGTGGAATAGGAGTTGAGCCAACATCCTCCAGGCATTGTTCAACTGCCTTTGCCCTGGACTTGCAAACTTTGTGGTCTTTGGATCCTTTTGAGGACAGTACAGTATTTCACCACCACAAACTCATATACAAATATTTGCACACACACTGGGTCTCCCTCACTGAAATTCTGTAAAGCAAGGCTAAATCACCTCCTAATAGAGGCTTCTGAGCAAGACCTTCTGTATTTCCTTTTAACTTTCTTCACACTTCAGTGCCTCCTAGGTTAAGGTCATGTTTTCCCTTTAAATAGGGCTTCTGGGCCAGGCACCAGTGGCTCGCACCTGTAATCCCAGTTACTCAGCAGGCAGAGATCAGGAGGATCACAGTTTGAAGCCAGCACAGGCAAATAGTTTGTGAGACCCTATCTTGAAAAACACCCTTCACAAAAAAGGGGCTGGTGGAGTGTCTCAAGGTGTAGGCCCAAAGTTCAAACCCCAGTACCACAAAAATAAACAGGGCTTCTGAGGACAGACCCATGTTAATAATTAGGGTTCCCTAGGACAGCCTACTCCCCTCATGCTAACAGGAGCTTGTATCTTATCCTGCCCCAGAGGTTCCCAGAGCTACAGATGGAAGTCATTGCTGACTACGAGGTACACCCCAACCGGCGTCCTAAGATTCTGGCCCAGACAGCAGCCCATGTGGCAGGAGCTGCTTACTACTACCAACGACAAGATGTGGAGGCTGATCCCTGGGGGACCCAGGTCAGAGGGAAAGTTTGAATGAGTGAGGACTATTGAGGGGAAATGTAAAAGCCCTTCAAGGTATTTCTATCAGGGACTGGAGGTGTGGCTCAAGTGGCAGAGTGCTTGCTTTGTAAGCCTGTAATCTTTCAGTTCAAATCCCAGTCACACCAAAAAAAGAGAAAGGTATTTCTATCAGGTCTCCCACTCTACCATCCTTTGAAGTTGTCACGTAACTCAGGACAAAGCAGGGGCCAGCCCCCTTACATGCTTTCTGAGGGTCACATCAGGTTAGAAAACCTTGTTCTTAAAACCATCTTACAAGACTATCTCAGGATGGAGAGGGCAGACAGGTATCAGGTAGGTGAGTGAGTGAACGTGAGACTGTAAAGTTGCCTGAGGATGCTTAAGTGAGTGCCTTTCCTCATGCTTAGAATGAGGTTAAGAAATGGTTATGCAGGAAAGAGGGACAGGTTTGTATGTAGTCAGTGTGCATTGAGTGGAAAGTGAGTAAGGATAGCTTACAGTGATGGTAGTGGGACTTGATGCTAAGGTACCTCCATGACCTTTTTTCTTTACCCTCTTCCCAGCGCATAGCAGGTGTGTGCATACACCCCCGATATGGAGGCTGGTTTGCAATCCGAGGGGTGTTGCTGCTGCCAGGAGTTGAAGTGCCAGATTTGCCACAAAGAAAGCCCCCTGACTGTATACCTGTGAGAGCTGATCGCATCACTCTCCTTGAAGGCTTTAATTTCCATTGGCGTGACTGGACTTACCGGGATGCTGTGACACCACAGGAGCGTTACTCAGAAGAACAAAAGGCCTACTTTTCTGCCCCACCTGCTGACCGGTTGGCACTATTAGGTTTGGCCCAGCCCTCAAAGGAGCTTAGCACTACATCCCCTGAGATACCCCTTACCATGCTCAGCAAGCCTCAGAATCCCAGCAGAGTGCGTAGCTGGCTTAGCCCCAATGTCTCACCACCTGTATCCCCTGGCCCTTGATACCGTCTTCCCCTGTGGGATCCCATTTATGGTGGTTCTAGGACTTTTGACAAAGCAAAATTTTATTTTGGGTACAAGATGATTACTTTTGATAATATAGTAGAGATCGTCAATGAGAGTAAGGCTCACCTAAAAGTTAGGTTTAGTTAAAACAAATCAAATACCAAGGTAGACCCAGAAATCCCTACCTGCCTTTGAATATGGTATTCTTGTCTATAACCATTTTTATGCAGTGCTCCAAGGTACTACCTGTTATGGGGCCTTAGGGACAATCATCCCCTAAATAACACTTATCACATAGGGTTGTGGAGACTTAATAAATACATGGAAAGCACTTTGAAACAGTGCTTGTTTCACCATTAAGTGGTATATTTGCTATTACTAAAGGCCCTAGGGAATCCTGTACTGCTGTTCACAGGTCTGGTCTGAGTTCCAGAAGGGTAGCTGATGTGTGTGGAAAGGCAATTCAAGATACAAAGAGGATCCACAGCTAGAATGCAAGGAAGGTGAGAAGCAAGCAGCACAGTACTTCTTTTCTAAGTCCTATTTAAGACCACCAGCCTCATGATTATATTCCTTTCAGTCCCAAAGGAACAACAAAAAAGCCTCCAAGTCTTTTTCTTTTTTGAGGCAAGAGTAAATACTGTTTTGTAGTCTAAGTTGTCCTTCAACTTGAAATCTTGCCTCTTGCCTCCAGAGTGGTAGGATTACAAGCATGCACCACCACACCTGGCCACTCTTCGTTCTTTTACAGAGCAGGTACCAAGCATTTATCCTAAGATACAAAGCTGGCTCCCATGTAGCCTTCCCAATACTGTAAATACAGATGTCTTATGTCAATGGGACTACAACTTGCAACCTAGCATATTGCATAAATTGCAGAGCCCTGGTCAGTAATATTGTAGGGGTTTGCTGTTTACTTCTGATGAAACAAAATCTAACACCTTAGTTCAGTTTCCTTTGTGTACCTATTTCCCCTCTTCAATATAATTGGTTCTGAGGCACCTCTCACTTTTCATTTGTTGCCTCAAGAAGGAAAGTGAAGAGTAAATTCCTCTTAATATCAAAGATTAATGTCCTATAATGAAGAATCACCAAGCTCTTAGTTCAAGTTTAATAGACACTACAAAAGATCAACAGACTAATGCCACTACTTGTGCATCATACACATCGGATGGCTTGCTTCACAACACAGGTCAGGTCATTCCCACCAATGGAAGAAAAGCTGACTTCCCCAACTCCTACAGGAAAAGCTTGTCTTGAACCATACCACATCTTGTTTTAAGCATGAAAAAATTATAAGAGATTTTGTTCTCATGGCTGACTACTCCAGCCTGGCACTAAAATGGCCCAGCGCTCACTTCTGCTTAGAGAAATATTCTTTGCTCTTCTGGACATCAGGCTTGATGGTATCACTGCCAGGCTTCCAGCCAGCTGGGCACACTAAAAGAGAAAGGTACTACAAATTAATAATCTGTACAGTGTTGTGTGCCACCCTCCTTCCATGAACAAAAGGCTGCCTCAAAAACAGGTATGGGGGCAGGAGACATAATTCAAGCAGTTAAGAATCTGTCTAGCAAGCATGAAGCCCTGAGTCCACACCCAGTACTACCAAAAAAAGATTAAGGATTGAGGAAAACAGATCTAAACCCTACGGAGTCTGAACACTCAAACACAGGGAAACCTACCCTCAGCCTTCTAGTTCTGGCCAGGTGCCAAGGGCGCATGCCTGTAATCCTAGCTACGTGGAAGGATGAGATTTGAAGGACTAAAGCCACCCCAGGCAAATAGTTTGCTCCCCATCTCTGGGGAGCAAAACTGGACGTGGAGGTGTGGCTCAAGCAGAAGGGTGTGTGCTTTGCAAGTACAAAGCCCTAAGTTCAAACCTCAGTTCCACCAGAGGAAGAAAAAAAAAAAAGACTAACAACTTTACAATTTTATTTTAAACATTGGCAGTACTGGGGTTTGAACTCAGGGACTCATGCTTGCCAGGCAGGTGCTCTGCCATTTGAGTTACACCCCTGGCCCAGCAAACACTAATGTAAATTTAATCCTCACACTAGTTTATCCATGTAGCATCTATCTAAAGTTTGAAGAAATGAACTGCTTCAACTATGTTTAATTCCTAAAATAACCTGTAAAGTACATACAGTAAAACATTAAGACTTGTTAGTGGTAGATAGTGGGTCAATCTGGGGACATGGCTTAAGTGGTAGAGCAAATGCAAGGGCAAGGCCAAGTTCAAACTCCAGTAAAGCAAAAAAATTAAAGAACTGAGTCAATGACCTATATAGTAAAACACTTTGGAAAAAAACAGGGAAAGCCAGGCATGGTGACCTGTAATCACAGCACTCAGAAGGCACAGGAAAGTGGATCACGAGTTTGAGGACAACCTAGGATACACAGCAAAAAGAAAAGAAAAACATACCACCCACAAAATGAGAGAAAATATTCTCAAATCATAAAAAAAAACTACAACTCTAATAAAAACACAAACCTAATCAAAAATGGGCAAAGCACTTGAATATATGTATTCTTTAGTCCGCACAAGATAGGCTCAGTATTACTAGGCATCAAGGAACTGCTAAAAGTCAAAACAACAAGATCCTACTTTATACCATTACACCATATGCTAATATATGCCATATTAACAAGGTTATAATAGTACATTAAGTAACAAGAATTGGGGAAGGGGGGAGAAATGACCCAAACATTGTATGCACATATGAATAAAAGAAAAAAATAAATAAATAAAACCCCACATATATGGTCAGCTAAACTTCAATAAAGGTATCAACAATTAAAAAAAAAAAAACAAACAAACAAGAATTGGCAAGAATATAGATGGATAAGTAGTAAGTAATGGATACACATTATGAATTAATGTCACTAAATGTATGCCTAAAATAGTTTATTTGTTACCGGAGTAAAAAATTTTTTTGACAAAGAAAAGGCAATACAAATGATTTGCCAGCACTCCCTCACACCCAAGAAAAAACTAAAAATAAAAAATAGGATAAATAACAGAACTAAGAATGTAAACACAAACACTATAGGTCTGAGGGCAGCAATCTCAGTCTGCCTCCTCAGCATTCATTAATTCTGCCAAACTACAAAAGAACAGGACCACCAAAGCAGGCCTTTCTTTCTTCTAAGTATCTTCCTTCTACCTCTTGGGTAAACAAAAGGCAACAAATAGTTTTCAACTCTAAGAATTAATTATAAGCTAGCAATGCATGTTGGGCTGGCCTAAGAACAATGAACAAGAGGACCAATCTGACTTTTTTCCATTTCCATTTGCTGCCATCTTAGGACACATGTGTTCACCAAAGTCCAGTAAGTGAGCAGGAAGAGTCATCTGCTTAAGTGAGAGGGAAGCCCCATTTAGTCCAAGGATATTTTAGCTTCTGAGACTCTACAACCAGCTCTCTGGACGCAGTATATACATGAAATCAGAATTAAGTGAGTTCCCAGCACTATGAGACAAAACTGGGTTTGTAGAGTAGCTAAAGTAAGCTATAAGAACCTCATGGCTATTATAACCATACTTGTATTAATGACAGGACAGATGTTTCACTCATCCCAAGTGTGGGTTCTTTCAGAATCAGTATGAATCTCACTGTACCTTCAAGTATAGCTTAAAGTGCTACATAACTATCCAAGGAGTAAAGTGACACCAGGCACTATAACCTCAGTAAGAGATAACTGCCCCAGCACAGAAGTCCCCAAACTATACCTAATTCAGCCATCGTAATTACCTAAAAAATTACTTAATTCCCTAAAAAATTACTTACTTCCCTAATAAAACTGCCCAAATACTTAGAATCTGGATCCCAGTTCTATTATTTACTTTGAATAAATGCTGTGAAGGGGTTTTTTGTTTGAAGTACTGGGGGTTGAACTCATGGCCTTACACGTAGCATTCTATCTCGAGCCACACATCCAGCTCCTTTACAGGTGTTTTTTTGTTTTTGTCTTTTTTTGGTTGAACTGTGGTTTGAATTCAGGACTTTGTGCTTGCAAAGCAGGCACTCTACCACTTGAGCCATGCTTCCAGTTCTCCCTAGCTCTTTCACTTTTCTATTTTTGTTTGTAAGAGAGGGTCTCACTGACTTTGCGGAGAAGTCTGGCCTCAATCTTGTGATCCTCCTGTCTGCCTCTCAAGTAGCTGGAATTTACAGGCATGCACCACCATGTCCAGTCTTTAACTTGTAATCCTCTTGCCTCCAATTCTGAGTGCTGAGATTACAGGCGTGTGCCATCACACTGTAGCCAAATGGTGTAGTTTTATGTACTGGTTTATTAGTGCTTTAAAAAAAGAATAAAAAAAAAGAAAAAGAAAAAAAAGCTGGGCACTGGTGGCTCACACCCGTAATCCTAGCTACTCAGGAGACAGACCAGGAGGAGGATCGTAGTTTGAAGCCAGCCCAGGCAAATAGTTC